AAACCAAGAAATAGAGAACTGTGGAATGTAGTCCAGTCATCCTGGGCTGGAATACCTGTTCACAGGTGCCAGAAGTTGGTTGACCCCAAGCAACACAGATGTACAGCAGTTCTCAGAAACAGTGCTTATACAACTAAATAGTCATTAAGTGATTCAAAGGAAAGCAAAATCTTCAAACATTTTTCAGTTTATATAGTGAATGTTTGAGTTTGTAAAGAAGAGTACAAACACTGCTATTTTTTTGAACAGTCTAATATTCACTTTTCTACAAATTTTTTTAGAGGAACAGCACAAATTAGATATATTTTTCTTCATGTTTTGATTTGGAATAGAATGTGTAGTGTTCCCAATGCATTTGTGTGTATGGAAATAAAAGCTATTAGAAGGATTTTGAGCTTTATTCACTTTTTTCAACACATTATTTTGAACACAACTGTATGTATATATATATATATATATATATATATATATATAAAAAAAAAAGAATTGTTCCATGCTGACCATTGATTAATACAGAACGTTTGAGGTTCAAGCCTAACCCTTTGCTGGTTATTCGAAATGGAAGCTTTCAACATACCTGAAATTCCTTTGTCAAGCTTTATACATTTTAAAATTATACAGCATGACAAAGCAATATAAGTTATCCTGAAAGCTTGCATCTTTAAAAACATAAAGTGTATCTAAACCCAAATACAAAAATGTGATATATTTATATTTTATATTGAAGCTTACCAAATCTTAAATGGGGTGGGCCCATTAGATTCCTTTTTTTAGGCTGTTTTTTCTGTTTTTGCACCTGGTAATCCAGCTAGAAACATTCTTTGTCTTAGGATGGATCCACTCTATGGGGGAGCAATGGAACCACCCTTGGACAGCTGCGTTGTCAATCCAGTGAAAGGGCAGTGTTAGATTCACTAGCAAATGTAGCTGAACCTGGCCAACATATTAGACAGGTTCCCCGCCGCCCTATAGCAGATTACTGCTACAGGGCAGCAAGGCTGTGCAAAATCATGTATATGTATGTGATTTTGCATTTCCGGGTAGGGGGTGCACGAGTGCCGCCCTACCCGTGCCGCCATTGGTGGCTACAGCTGTCGATCACCAGATCCCAGCCGGAGATTCCCCACCAACACCTGGCGATCACTGAGGAACACTGACAGGGGAGAGATCTGATTGTAAACAACACAGATCTCTCCCCTGTCATAGCAGAGCAATACAAAGCAGTATGTCTCCCTAGTAAAACACACACATAGTAAAACAGCACACAGCACACAGATAGCCCTTTGATTGCCCCAGATGTTAAATCCTCTGGAGGGCACGTGGTTAAAGCCAAACTACAGCTAATGTTTTTTAAGCTGTTGCAGCAACAGGTTTTTTGGGGGATAACATAAAAAGAATAACAGTTGACAACCATTGTATTTACCCCTGTCAGTGTTCTATGGTTTGTCTTATCCCTCTGTCTCCCAGTTTTGCTGGACAGCTTGGTCTGTTAAAGGAAGTTAAAAAAAAAGCAGGTCAGGCCAGATCACCAGGTGAAAAAAACAAAAGTAAAACTAATGCATGTAAGAATTGGTAAACTGCAGTATATTCAGTTTTTTGCTTGTGGGTGTTGATACACTTAGCCAATAAAGGGTATCACTTGTCAAACTTTCTAAATTATATATATTTGTCAATGCAATGCTAGATCCAAGGTCATATTCAGTGAATTGATCCTTCATTTGTTGCCCATCAGAAATGTTGCCATAGTTAGGAATCCTATTTGCGAATTTTGTGAATTTGCCCCAATGTCCATTACAATGCCAGACTGTGAATTAAATAAAGTGAAAAAACTGAAAACTATTAATGATTTATTAATAATTCTGATTTCAAATTCTCTGTAACAGATCAGCAAACTTTGTGTCATAGCAGCTTAGTGCATCTTGGTAAAAAGGATGACTATACTACATGTTGCTGAAGTACACTAGAATGTCGACAAACGTAAACTGATTCTCCATAGGCTGCCATGTTTCCTGAAGCCTTTCTTCGTCTTTCCCCTAGTTGTGTTAGGCCTTATTTAAAGAGTAACTCCACTTCTGTGGAAAAAACATTCCTCTCTGGGTGATTAATGCACATTGAGAAGATTTTAACAAACTTTATTGCAGATTCCTATCTTTTGTTATACGGAAGAAATAGTTGTTTGTTTGTCTGTGTCCATGTGCAGAGTGAATCTGTATGGAAGTGGTTTTATAATTATCAATCAGCTGCTGCACCTGCAGGGCTCTAATGATGAAATTGGCAAGGTCTGTATCTCTTTAAATGTGATTTCCCTTGGGGAGTATCTCACCAAAATGCCATTTCTGTTGTGGGGATGCCAAAAATATGACTTAGTGCAGACGTCCAGGAAAATCAATAAGCCAATCACACACGCAGGAAATTACATTTCTGGGGGGGGCATTCTGTACACCATCTGTGTATAGAACACCTCCAGGTAGCCATATTGTGTTGCATTTACAGAAAATGACAGTGCTGCAGATTGAAAAGGAAAGGTAATTTTTAATAACATTCAATTACAATATGACTTTGGTTGCCATTGTGCACTCTATATTGTTTTTTTGTTGTTTTTTTTTAATTTGATAATGCTTTTTCCCACGAAAGTGGAGTTACCCTTTAACCATTAGCCGCCCGGCCAATGGCCGTTTGGCGGCTTCAGATGTGCCTCTTCATTCCGGGTGCACGCCATTTGGCGTGCTCCCGCACATGCGCCGTTTGCGGTAATGCAGAGCGGCGCAGCAGCGGGATCTGTCACGGGCCGTGCACCTCGGACACGGCCGATGACAGATCCGAGTACCGGCTCCCGTTGCTGGTACCATGTGACCTGCTGTGACCAATCACAGCAGGTCACATGACAGTTGTATACAATGGATGGCTTCATTCATGATGCCATCCATTGTATACTAGTGCCTAGCTGTGAATGGTCACAGCTAATCACATGCATGCACATGTCATGTGATTAGCTGTGACCAAATCACAGCTAAGCACAAAAAAAAAAAAAAAAAAAAAAAAAAAAAAGCTGAATGAATCGATTTCATTCAGGTAAATGCTTGCTTATAGCAAGGTAATTCTTTGCTATAAGCAAATTCTGTAAAAAAATAAAAAAATACTGATCACTTCCCCAAAGTAGTACAGTGTTACTATGGTAACATTGTACTACTTTGGTCACAGTAAAATATGAAAAAAAAATCTTAAAAAAAATAAAAAAAATGTAATAAAAAATTAAATATAATAAAAAAATAAAAAAGAAATAAAAAAAAAAATATATTTTTTTTTTTCATACTGTCACCAGTCAGTGTCCCTGTTAACCGCCATGCCAGTTATATGATGACGCTGTACTGCACTGGTGACAGTATGTAAAAAAAAAAATAGTGAAAATAATTTTTTTAATTTTTTCATTTTCCGAAAAATTATGACATAAAAATACAACTTCAAAAAACTCGCCATGCCTCTTATGAAGTACGTCGGACTGTCTACTCTGCAAAAAGGGGTCATTTGTGGGATATCTGTACTATTCTGACATTCTTGGACCTCAAGATATTAGATTGGCCATCAGTACTTCAGGATTGATCAATATTCAGATCTATACCATAGTTTGTAAACTCTATAACTTTCCTACAAAGTAAATAATACATCCTAATTTGGGTTATTTTCACCAAAGACATGTAGCAGAATACATCTCGGCCTAAATTTATGAAGAACAATTATTTATTTGTAAACTTTTATAACAGAAACTAAGAAAAATGTGTTTTTTTTTTCAAAATTTTTGGTCTTTTTTTGTTAATTTAGCAAAAAAAAAAACCCCAGCGGTGATTAAATACCACCAAAAGAAAGCTCTAGTTGTGTGAAGAAAATGATAAAATTTTAGTTTGGGTACAGTGTTGTATGACCGCGCAATTGTCATTCAAAGTGTGAGAGCGCTGAAACCTGAAAAATGGCCTGGGCAGGAAGGTGTAAAATTGCACGGTATTGAAATGGTTAATCATGCCAAGTTAGCAGGATATGAAACACATAGTTATGGTCTTAGTGCAATTACTTACCTCTCTCCTGAGAGTGTTTACTATTTTGTTCAAATTATACTTGAAAATCATAGCTTAACCCTTTTGCTGCCAGAGCTGCTTTTGCATTTTTTGCACAAGTTTAAAAAATCATTTTAGGCCTGAAGACTGCACAAAACCCCCCCAAAATTCAATTTTTTTCTGAAAAAGCAGACACCCTAGCGAATAAAATAGTGGTAGTTCCAATTTTTTATGTCACACGATATGCGAAGGTCTAAGAAATGCAACATTTCAGTAAAAAAAACACTAAAGTGAATTTTAGGGAAAACAAATGTAATAAACTGCCCAAATTTGTAGTAAAGTATAAAAGATGAGGTTGCACCAAGTAAATAGATATCCAACAGGTCAAATCTTAAATTTATGTGCGCCCATGAAATGGCGACAAACTTCAGTATTTTCTATAGGCGACGCTTCAAAAGCCTCTACAGATCATCAGTTTAAGAGGAGGTTTTGTGCTAGAATTATTGCTCTCACTCGTGTAACATGTATGTGGCAATCAACGTTTTCACATGTAGGAACCCTGCCCTACAAAGTCCCCTATGTGTTGATTTTAAGGTGACTTTAAGGTTCTCTGTAATGAGGCGTGCACCTTTTTTGTGTGGTTCATGTGGCACAGCAACCCTTTCATATGATTCGGCCTTAAAGTGGAACTACATTGCATCTAAACACCACAAATCAAAAACACTATTTATTTTTCAATGCTTTTTTATTGAAGAATTTTGCAAACATACAGAAAACAAAACACCTCTGCAACTTCAGAGAAGAAGCAAAAACATGCTTCTGTGCCGCCCTATGGCAGGAATACTGCTACAGGGAGGAACGGATGTGCAAAATCATGTATATTTATGTGATTTTGCAGTTCCAGGTAGACCATAGTATCCGCTCTGCCATTCACGACCTCGGCTGTCAATCACCGGGTCCCAGCCAGTGATTGCCGAGTATTACCGACGAGGGAGAGACCTGTGTATAAACAACACAATTCTCTCCCTTCAGCTCCTGCACACTGCTTTGTACGGCTCTGCATAGCAGAACCATACAATGCAGTGTGCTTACAGTGTAAACTGCACAGCACACAGTTAAACCTTTGATTGCCCCACATGTTAACCCCTTCCTGCCCAGTGCCATTAGTACGGTGTCAGTGCTTTTTATGAGACTGATCACTGTATTGGTGTCACTGGGGGTGTCACTGGGGATGTCAGTGACACCAAGTTAGTTCCCCACAGTGTTAGAATGCCCCCTGTAGTCCCGCTATAAGTCGCTGATCGCCGCCATTACTAGTACAAAAAAAAAAATCCAGTATATAAACCGCCATTTGTAAACGCTATAACTGTAAACCAATTAATTTACACGTACTGGGATTTTTTTTTAGCAAAGACATGTAGCAGAATACCATTTAAAAAAAATGGCCTTTACATTTTTTTACTGGACATGTTTAATAGCAAAAAGTCAAAAATATTGTTTTATTTTCAAAATTGTCTGTCTTTTTTTGTTTATAGCGCAAAAAATAAAAAAATGCACAGGCAATCAATTACCACTGAAAGGAAGCTCAATTTGTGGGAAAAAAAGGACGTAAATATAATTTGGGTGCAGCGTTGCATGACCGCGCAATTGTTAGTCAAAGTAACGCAGCACCGTAATGCAAAAAATGGCCTGGTCAGCAAGGGGGGTAAATCCTGTAGGCATGATCCACTGTTATCAATAACAATAAACCTGTCCAGAAGAATGATGTGCAGCCAACATTAGAGTGAGTACATGTAGTTAAGAAGTGGCTTAAAAAGGCCACCAGCAGTACTGAGATGGGAAAAAAGTAAAAACAATATATTATGGGAAGAAAACATGGCACTTATTTAGGTTATCTTGTGCAAGTCAACTGCAAGTGCAGTTCAGTTTGGGTTTAGATCTACTTTACTTCCCGTCCGCCCTATAGCAGAAATACTGCTACAGGGCGGCACAAATGCGCAAAATCACGTGTATATATATGTGATTTTGCAGTTCCAGGTAGGGGGCATGTGCAAGCCATGTGCGCCCCCTACCCGAGCTGCGGCCTCAGCTGTCAATCAACAGGCCCCAGCTGGTGATTACTCGCTGGCACCTGGTGATCGCCGAGTATTATCGATAGGGGAGAGAACTGTATGTAAACAATACAGTTCTCTCCCCTGTCAGCTACTGCACACTGCATAACAGAGCCATACAAAGCAGTGTGCTTACAGTATAATGCACACACACAGCACATAATGTGAAACAGCGCACAGCACACAGTTAACCCTTTGATCGCCCCACATGTTAACCCCTTCCTGCCCAGTGCCATTAGTACAGTGCCAGTGCTGTTTATTAACACTGATCACTGTATTGGTGTCACTGGGGATGTCAACGACACCAAGTCAGTTCCCCCCAGTGTCAGAATTTGCCCCGCAGTCCTTCTATAAGTCGCTGATCGCCGCCATTACTAGTAAAAAAATTATAAAAAAACAAAATTCCAGTATATATACTGCGATTTGTAAGCGCTATAACTTTCACATAAACCAATTAATTTACATGTATTGGAATTTGTGTTTAGCAAAGACATGTCGCAGAATACATTTTGGCCTAAATTTATGACGAAATTAGATTTTTTTAATTTTTTATTGGATATGTTTAATAGCAAAAAGTCAAAAATATTGGGGGGGTTTTCAAAATTGTCAGTCTTTTTTTGTTTATAGCACAAAAAATAAAAACCGCACAGGGGATCAAATACCACCAAAAGTAAGCTCTATTTGTGGGAAAAAAAGTCATAAATTTAATTTGGGTACAGTGTTGCATGACCGCGTAATTGTTAATCAAAGTAACGCAGCGCTGTAATGCAAAAAATGGCCTGGTCAGGAAGGGGGGTAAATCCTCTGGAGGGCAAGTGGTTAAGGTAGTACCCTGCATGGGTGACACAAGCACAAATGTATAACAGCAGAGGAAATGGGAAAACATAATGTCAGTTTTTTGTTTTTTTTTTTTGCATCTGATCCTCTGAAATACACTGAATGTTTGGAATACTTGGTTGTATGTGTAATCAGTTTGCCTGACTGAATAGCTAGCATTCCCAGAATCAGCTGTGGAAAGGGAATTTGCATGTCCATACACAGAGGCTTTGTACTGACACAAAGATGTGCTCAGACTATAGAAACAATCTGTTTATATCATGTGGGTGGACTTTCAGAATGACATTTTCCAGTGTTTATCAACAAACATGGTCAAGAGAGATTGCTTTCCCGAACTGTGAGCAATGCCTTCACTGGCTGTCCATGCTTCATTAATTTTTAATTAACGATTATTTCTCAGGAAAACAATAGCAGAGCAGATAGGCTTCTGTACATTTTGTGCACGGAGAGAGGAGCGGTGTACATATTTGCCAATTTTTGAAAATACCTTGTAATACTTTGCTGTGTATTTTGTGTGGTCATGTGTAATACTGTCTTGGAGGCCCTTGAAACATTAATCAATTGACACAACAAATTCACTTTATTGTTGCACTTTAATTGCTGCTTCTCAACAATGTGTATTGTAATTTTTTACTGAACATTGTCTACAAAATATTAATAGCTGGATGAACCTAAAAAAAGAACTATGGAAAGTTCAGATCTGTAGATGTTAAAGTGTTACTAAACCCAGGACCCTGCATTCACTGTATCTGGTCTCCCACAGTACACAGAACATGGAAGTGCAATTATTTTAGCAAATATAAACTGCTAAATTCCTTTTCTCATCAGCAGTTAGAGCAGTCTTGTGACTTATATCAGTGTCCAGCAGAGTACATGTTAACGCTTGTAGGAGGAGATTTATTTCTGCTCTAGGAGGATGCAGAACCCCTGATCTCTGTCTGGACAGTACTTATTGGCCCTGTGCTGTTCATATGCACTCTCCCAAGAAAAAAAAAACTATCTAGCAATACACACCAAACCGAGCATGTGCAGAGTGACTCCACACAACATTTCCTATCAGGAGATAAGAGAGGGGGGAAGAAGGGGAGGATCGGAGAAGACAGGATCAAACAGCCTTTTTACACAATGCAGAGGATTAACCCCTTAGGTTCCACAGTGAGTATATCAAGCATGTTTTACTGCATATACAGACTGATTTTACTGTTGTGGGTTTAGTAACACTTTAAAGCTGTGTGTCTTATTACTGCTGAGCATGAAGGTTAAATGAACTTCAGTGCAGGAACCTCTCAACAGGAGTATAGTCCTGACACAAACTGTAATGATCTCCCAAAGGTGGCAAGGAAAGTCTCTAGGAGCATTAAGGCTAGTACTGACTGTGCCCTGGGTCCTGTAATGCCTCCTGTAGTACCAACCAATCTCTGTGCATGGTGCCTGCGGCCTGTATCCCCTGTGGAGCTTTCTGCATTGTTTCAGGCAAATCTGGACAGGGGTCCCTGACCTCTAACAGGAGCTGAGACCCCAAAAAGGATTTCTTCAGTGCTATAGCCAGCAGCCCAGGGATGTAACAGCCATCAGGCTCAGTCTTACTCCCCCAGGAACAAGAGGAAGCTATTCCAGGCCCAAGCCTATTTATAGCCCCCTCAACCCCTTGCTGGTCACTCACTTTCCTGACCACGGACTGGCTGAAAGTGCATAAATGTGAAGGCCAGGGTCAGCTTCTCTCACCCACTATAATCCATAATCCCGTGGGATGCAGGGGAAAGTAGCCGAGTCTTTAGAGCCCAGAACAGCCAAAAGAAAATGATCATTTTTCCCCTGCTAGAAGGAAGTCAAAAGCTAAATTTGCCTAACACACTATCAGCCTAACTATGGGGGCGCTACACCTGCTTCTCATATGCTGCCCGACACTACATAGCAGCATCAAAACACACCTATTTGTTCTGGTCCCCTGTACATTTCTATGACCATTGAGACAGCCTATGAAGATGATAGGCTAGTTGGAAAGGGGGGGGGGGGTGGAGTGGTAAGCTCTTGCATTGCCCAGAAGTGTCAGGGTTTCACTCATGCAAACTGCTCAACCAGGCTTTATAGGTATGTTCAAGCACATTTTAGGAATATACTGTATAGAGTGTTGGGTTTTTTAATTATTGCAGAAGAAGGTGACTTCAAAGAGGGGTAGGAAAGATGAAGTTGGGTTTTAGGCTAGGTTTACACTAAAATGCAGTGTGGGAAGCCACGATCTGTGAGCGTTTCCCACACCACGTTCAAAATGCACTGAAGTTGTGATCGGCAGCAGGTGCCATTGATAAGTTAACGACATCCCAAATGAAGGATGCAAATGCAGTGTGGTTGCCTGAAACAGATCGTATGGTTTCAATGTACCATGTGGTCTGGTTGCAGTGCATTTCCAAACGTAGAGCATGCACTACCTAGGTGCAATGCAATGCAATTTGAACCCATTCACCATTGCAAGTGACTTGAACAGGAATGTGCAGCTCATTCCTGTGCGATTCATAGTGTGAACCGGGGCTTAAAGTCACCTTATTAAATGCTTATATGTAAACCTTACTCAAAATACATGACTGCTGAAAATGTACTATGAGGCTGATTTAGAAAGGCAAATAGGCTGTTCAGTTTACAAAGGAAGTTGCACTTTGCAAGGGAATTATCCCCAGAGCTCAGTGGCTGAAGGTGACTCCCGTCCTTCAATCATGTGCAAGTATAATTTTATTTTTCTTTGTGTGTGATTGCGTATTTTTTGCAAAGTAAAATTACACCACATTCACTAAGCTCTGAGTATAATTCCCTTGCAAAGTGCAGCTTCCCTTGCTTTGAAGAAGATGGCTTGTCCTTTGAAAAGCTGGCAAGTCTAATTTATGTCAGGATCATGTGATTTTTATGTCTAATCAAGGGCCAACTTGCCACTTGGGTCTATATATACCGTATTTTCCGGCGTATAAGACGACTGGGCGTATAAGACGACCCCCCTACTTTTCCTGTTAAAATATAGGGTTTGGGCTATACTCGCCGTATAAGACTACCCCCCTCTTCCAACCAATCACGGCAAGCAATGTACCAGTATTTTCTGTGCACACTGTGCACACTGCATACAAAGCCTGCTTGGATTGGGTGGGTCAGCTCTCCCTGCCTGCCCAGCCCTGCCTGTCTCCAAGATACCATAAATTGCACAGAACTGCCACAGACATTATAATATTAATAATTAATTACCGTATCTCATAGCAGTTAAGGGGACAAGGTCGGATGCAGCAGTACCATACCGGTACTTCCGAGCTGACACTTCTGCACATGTCTAGGGCAGCAGTAGACGATCACTGATCACCATTCCTCGCAGAACTGCATGAGACGTCGGATGCAGCCGTTCAGTGCTCGATTGATCGTGACTGAAACTGTGACATGCGCAGAATCACTGTGTATCCCTTCTCTGCATATCACAGTTTCAGTCAAGCTCAATCGAGCACTGCTGCATCCGACGTCTCATGCAGTTCTGCGAGCTACGGTGATCCGCGATCGTCTACTGCTGCCGAAGACATGCGCAGTAGCGTCAACCCGGAAGTATGGTAAGGTTTCAGCACAGCACCCGGCGTATAAGACGACCCCCGACTTTGTAGACGATTTCCAGGGGTTAAAATGTCGTCTTATACGCCGGAAAATACGGTATCTCTATTTTCATCTCCAGCCATTGTGAGTCTGCACTTGTTCGGTTTTAATCTTTAATAAAAGGTTTTTGGTAATGCACTAGGCCAGTGGTCTCTAAACTGCGGTCCAGGGGCCAGATATGGCTTTTTGCTTGCCTTTATCTGGCCCTTGGGGAACTATTCCACCAACTGTAACCAATGATGGCGCACTATTCCCTCTACTGACACCATCAATGGGGAATTATACTTCTCATTGATATCAACAAAGGAGCACAATTCTTCTCACTGATATCAACAATGGGGCACAATTCCTCCTATTAATATGGATGATGGGGCATTTTCTACTCCCACCAGCTACAGTCCGCCCCCCCCTAAAATCTGAAGGTCAGTAAACTGGCCCTTTGCTTAGAAAGTTTGGAGACCCCTGATCTAGGCCCTTGTGTCCTATTTTTTTGTTTGTGATGTTTCAAGATTCCAACATCTGAAGAGAGCAGCAATGGCACAGCTTTGTAGTCCTGGATAGAGAGGCAACAATAATAGGGACATTTCCCGTGGTGGTTTGAGTTCTCAGTAGTCCCATAGCGCTATGGTGTCAAGCTATCACCCTTGTAAAGTGAACAGGCTATTTGCCTTTAGTAAGTCAACCCTTACAAGTAGAATCATTTGTGGCTGATTCTGCGGACGACAGGGAGGTGTCCATACTTGACATAAAAGTTATTCCAGTTTCTTTTTAGTAGAGGCCAAAAAGCAATAGGTCTTGTTTAATTCCTATGAGCAATCCAGAGACTTTTCCTTCCGTTGTTTTCATAAATCAAAATACTGTCAACAATTTGACCTTTGTCATGAATCTATTACATTGGATTCCTCGG